AGTCACTCGCACCAACAATTTAGACCAAACCTTTCCGGCCACAACAAAAGATTCTCATCAAACGTTGACTGTTTCCACTCTGGCAGGGGACGTTTCTGACTCAGTGTGAAAGTCTTGTAGCAGCGGTTGGCGGACTTGAGCACACTCGACCTTGTGAGACTCGGCCAAGGGCATCTATTTGTACGCGTTGGATAACTTGTTGGGATGCCCAACATAACACGTTGTTTCTCTTCTGAATAACAGATTTTCCATCGATGCTTGCATATTACTTTGATTGAACGATGGGTGTGCAGATCTTCAGAGATTGCGAGGAGATACAATAGGGCTTAAAAAAGTAGCTGACTAACAAAATATGCTGAGATAACATAAAACAACTGATGTTGAGCAACTGTCATAGACCTTGTGGAAAGATAAGTTTGTAGAATTTACTCTATATTAGCGGTATATTTTTACTGGAAGTGGTTTAAGGCAACCATTTTTGCGTTTTTGAGCTCCATCGAAAAACACACGTCAAATTCACTTCAGGTTTGTGGGAATTGGAACGCTTGCGCTTTGAGTTGACCTGTATCGGCTTTCAAACATATTCGCATTTGGTTGAATATTTTGCTCCATGGTGAAACTCCCCCCAAACTCCATGGTCAAACTGTTTCGTCAGCAAATAATGTGGGAACGGATCGTTGCGCACACCAATTTTTTAGCCTAAAAAGTGAAAAATTAGTCTTTTGGCAGACCAACGTAATAAAGTGATGGATCATTAATTGACAGACTCATAAAGACGTTCAGTTTACACAATAAAGTCAACTACCTTACAATTTGTCAAAAAAACTATAAACTTCAAAAACACAACAATCTAAGTTAGCGGTAAAACAAAAAATTTACGCGCACAATAACACTCGTTTTGAGCTGCATCGTTTGAAATAAGCTATCGCATTTTATAAATGTTCTGAGCCTGCTGAAAAACCGGTCTGCTAAAACTCCTAGACCCAAAAAATGTTCTCTGCGATTGCTATAAGGGCAAGACTCATGACTTTTGGCGAATAGAACAAAAGTCAAACAATCCAAAAAAAATCCTTAAATGGACTTGTTTACATTGTACAATTATTGAAGTCGGGATAATTTGCGTTGGTTAAACCCTGCGATAAAATGTTTGACAAATGAATCATAAAAACTTGTTGTCATTTTTTCCTTTAAGATACAGACAATGAAACGGAAACTCATTAGGGACCTCGAAATGAAAGTCTGTTGTTGAATCACTGTCTTTCAATGGTTGTGCGGTTTTCTTCCTACGAAGAGTTTCAGTGAAAACGTAACTGCTGGGGACTTTTTTGACCTACATTACACAAGGTGCTCTTAACTGGTTGTTTACACGGGCGATTCTTTCATTTAGCGGATTATCAAAAACAATGATAAAAAACCGCTCAAATGATGCTGGAAAACCCATTAAAAAAACTATGAGAAATGAGTGTTTTTTGAGCGGTTTTTGAAAAGAAGGTTTGAGCGATTTGAGATGTTTTTTTTGGTCAAAAAGTGAACGCTCAAGTCGTTTGAAGTTTTTGGGAAACTGTTCAGATCGTTCAAGTTTTGAGCAATTTTTGAGCGGGATATCGATTCGGGCTAATACTGTCTTGCGTCAAAAGTGCATCGGAAAGCTGAATTGCTGGTGGAATAATTTTGTTTTATTTGAGCCTAAACCCAGATCACCTCCATAACGTATTTTTACCCATGCTACCGGAGGCCCGGAGCGTATATGTCTCGGAAAAACTTGTGGTATCTGCAGCAAAGAAAATCTTGATGGTTTGAGAAAGACTTTTTTCGAAGTTTCTTTCACTCTTTGCTTATTTGGGGAGACACCTATAAACTCATGTACCTCGTAGCTTTCGCAAAACCAGTCATTGCAGTTCGGCTGCTTCCTACATCTTTTTCTGGAGTGGAGAGACCAGGACTCTTTCATATTCGGAAGCAGTTTCGAAATATTTTCATATAAGACTGATGTACTTCTAAATTCGTATTCATATCATTGTGCTACAAAGCGGGACCAAGCTTAATCAAACACATAAAAGTTGCCAATGGTTTTGAGTGCAAGTTCAAAGGGGTGCATCTTCAAAGAGAGAAGTTTGTTCGGTTTTCCAGATGAGCAACCACGATTTTCTGTGATTGCTTGATTTTCGTTTCCATCGTTTCAAAAGAGTCTTTGAACAAAGTTCCAGCTAAAGCAATTTTCTCAAATGCGTTATTAACTTTGCCTGATTATATTGTTCTGATATATATCCATTGGAAAATAATCACTCATAAAATTTGAATCAATTGCATTAATATTCTCATAGAACCCTTCAGGCCAATGAAAGAAGGTTTCTACTCTGGCAGGGACCTTTCTGGCTTTTTGAAGAAAAAAAATTTGACCAAATTCTGAGTGGAATATGGGAAAGCGCTTGTTAAATGTTTGGTCGGAGCGATAATGGGAACAAAAAACGCAAAACAACATGAGAAGTCCTTAAAATTTGAGATTTATTTTTTGATGTTTTGCCGACGAGTCCTATTGTAATTGACAAGATAAGATGAATTGTGGAAATAACAACGGCTTATCCTTAATTTTTTTTACTAAGAATACTCGAGTGTAAAAAATAACCTGACAAATTTCCCTGATATAGGCTTTGTTGAGATTGAACGTTTGGTATTGTCAATTTAAACTATCTGTTTCAATTAATGTCTGTATTATCGGGCAATAATTGGAATTATGGGAAAACAACATTAGGTATTTTACTTTTAAATACCTTTAAAATTGTACATATATGCTTAGGTTTCAGCAAATTATCAGTCATTGGGTCTCTGCTTGCTCAAGCAATTTTCTCTGCTTGCTCAATGGTCTCTGCTGATTTTTATTAGGTCAGTGGTGAAGGTTTTAGCGAATAGTGGAGTAAACTGACGGCTATAACGAACACCATTGACATGCTGAATAGAAAAATATTCCCGACGATGGCCAATCAAGATAATTTTGTAGAAAATTCATCCTACGAAGGTAAAAAGAAACATTTTATGACAGTTATAATTTTGTAAAACCATACCTGAGAGTTTTGAAGGTTCAATTATTTTTAAGTGCGGTGCTATAAAATGTAATGGGTAAAGTTTATTGGTTCAACAGTACTGCGTTACGGCACAATGGTACTAGTAACGGTCCAGTGGTATGCAGCCAAAAACAGGGCGAGCGGATTACATTTTTCAAGATTCTCCAACCACAGAAAATATTGAGTTAGTGATTCACTCACATCATTGCTCGACACTGTTGACGGTTTTAGAGGTCAAGTGGACGTATTGAAAACGTAAAACTGAGCTGACCGTGTTAAAAAAAAATTTTGTTAAAAAAGCCTCGAGATTACTGGTATTAGAGGAAACGGCAGTTAGATGACAGGCGTTAACAGAGTTTTTGCGTTGGCACATGTTATTGTTCCTTACCTCGTTACTATTTTTTCCTGGCCCTAAGACTGCGTAAAACACGCGCTTGCAGCACGCATTTTTAGTCATATGCTACACCTTGTTTTTTTGATAGTTTTCGATCCATTTTTCGAGGAGAGAGACGGAATATTTCTTGATTATTTGCTCAATTTTGCTTAGAGCATATTTAGTTTTGTTTTGAAAGGACGCTTTTAAAATAATATCCGAGAAATTTTTTAGACCTAATTTTAAACCTTTTTTTTGTTTTTTGATCTTTTTTGTGAATTTTTATCAAAAAATGCAATTTTTTAATTTTTCAAGGTTTTTAATATAAGTGATTTTTCGGAAAAGTTTCGGCCAGAATCTAATTTCATTTTTCTGAAATTTCAGATCATAAGTTAGTAGTTGCAAAGGATATCACTTCTTAGTTTGCGCTGATCGTAAGGGACTATTTTTTGAAAGTTCTTTTTTTTGTTTTTTTTAGAAAGTTTAACGAATATTTGAGAATAAAGTTTCATCGCAGTTGTGGTATAAACGTGGTGCAAGTAAACAAACAGTCGTGGTATACATAGTTTTTTTCTGTCACAAGCAGTCTAATTCAGGTTTTGGTGTTTGCTGTATGCAAGATGAAAAAGTCTTGAGTTTAGTTACAAGCATTTTCCATCCCTGTCCCCAAATATTCTAATCAAATTAGGAGATTGGCAGAAAGCAAGAAAATTGAGTAGCATAAAATAAGCAACAAAGTTGCACAAGAAAAAGTTGTAGTTACGCAACAAGTAGTCAAATTTAATTTAAAACGTGTAAGCGACTCTGAGTGCTTTAAGATCGCACCCCATGAAAAGGAGAAAAATCGAATAAAAATGAAGTTTCATTGACTTTATTTACAACAAAATAGTCAGTTCTGACTGATTTTCATTCGATCTTAATGCAATATTAAATAAAGGCAACAAAACTCAAATTGATTATATTTGATTGTTTGTCACTTTTATTGACACTGGCATTAAAACTCAAATCTAATCGATTTTTATCTATGGAACTCAACTGCGGGGATTCTTTGTCGAAAAGCGACGGAGAGACACAGTTTGGCCACAATAGTCCACGCCGCTTTCTATTTTTTTTCATTTGAAAATGACCTTGTTGGTGATTTATTTTCAATGTTGCGATGAAACAAAACTTAAATTGGCGGTTGCTTTCGTGTTGTATTCTTGATTGAAGGAGAGTTTTGGAAAAAATTTTAGTCTAGAACTGATTCCAAAAAAGGGATCTACTTAACAATCTCTCTCGCCCCTTTGAAGAAAGGATGATTGTTAAGTAGATTTAGTTAGTCGAATTAAGCTTCAGTGCTACTTAACTGTGCTCTATAATAAGGGTAAAGAATCTGCAGAAGATACCATAGAATGGGGGGCGTTTCTAAAATGGTTTATCTAAACACGCTGACAGTCATCAACTGCCATTGTTAAAATCTCCAATTTACTAGTTCTTGTGGTATTCAAGTAAAGCATTCGAATTTGGTCCAGCTCTGTTGAACATACAAAAACATCATATTAAATTTTTTTTCAATCTGCAAAAAAGTACAGAGTATTTTTAAACGTGGTTCTATAACTGTTTTCAAAGTCTCTTTTCTTCGTCGTTGTAAGCCGCTAAACGTATACTGTCAAATTTGTATGTGAGATTTAAGCAAATGCTTAAAAAATTCTGCGCAGCTAATTTGTTTTAAACGATTTTGTTATCATCTTTGTTATCATGCACCTGTTTGAAGATTGAAATCAATTGTAAGATTGAGATCCTATATCTCAAATAAGTTAACGTCAAATTTAAGCCAGTTTTAGTTTTAAACAGGGAACCTCTTCTTGTGGCGGATCTATATTTTTTCCTTAGAATTTGACTTTTTTATTGCAGGAAACTTTAGTTAAGTCTCCGCGTACTTGCAAGGTGAAAAAATAAATGCTATCAAAGATATGAAAAAAAGAGAATTGTTTATCGAAATGCTCATTGTCCGACCATATTTATACATGTTTTTTAATGTAGAATTACTTAAGTTTTAATGAATCTGATCTGAAGTTAACTTATAATTGTTTCTATTATTCAACGATTTTATCAGATTTTTTTTTCATCAGTTGTTACTACCAGTTAGTAATTATAAACTATCAACATGCCCGGATCCGTGGAGAGCTATGATGAATTGGAGGGTGTGCCAGAACTGCTCCACCCACAGCGACTCATTCGACCCCTCACGGCCGGACCAGGAAGGACCCCCACCCACAGAAACAGGTGAGACCCCCACTCACAAAAATAGGTGAAAACTCTGCCCCAAAGTGCTAAATTTATTGCGCTACCAAGTTAACAACATGCCTTATTTACCATTCTAACCAATTGCTTGCACGCTTAGAACACCTATAATTTCCAAAAGCTGATTGTGTAATAAGGAAAGGACTTCATGCCAGACAAGAAAAGTAGCCAGACATTGCTTCTTTATAATTGTTTTGGCGTTTCGAAATATATTTTTTGTCCACAAATGGATGTCTGGGTTTTTTGTATGGGTTTCACCACCTGGGCTGTAATTTTTAACAAAAACTTCTCCGCATTTTTGATGGGACCATTAAAATGGGGAGTAAGTTTTGTCTTCGGGTTTGTTTTAGTTTTTTCACAAAAATTTAGGTACCACAAACAATAATCGGAAGAGCTTAAGTGATAAACCATAATAAGGCCTTTTCAGTGGTACTTTGAACGTCATGAGAAAATTTTCAAAAAACTGTTCGTGTTGAGACAACCTGGTTTGAATTTTTTAGTTTTAGCTTAACTCTGAGCGAGCAAAGCGATCGAGTAACGTTTCTTATTTGAAAGTTGGTAATTTTTACTAATTTTTACTAGGAATTTGTTTTTTGAATTCTTTTTTGCGTTTTTCTTGGAAATAAAATTTTTCTCAAAAAACTAAAAGTTATTGAGAAAAAGTTGAAAAAAAATGTAGAAGGTATTTTTGAATTTTTTTTTCGTTTTTTGTTTGTTATTCAGTTTTTGATATCAAGTCGTGAGGAGTACATCCTTCGGTTGACATTGTCTATAGTAAATCTTAAAGAAAGAAAATTGGTCATCTTGGCACACTTTTTTAAAAACTTTGTCAAATTAATTATGACTTTTGTTGGAGATTAGACAAAAAAATGTCAACTGCAAAAAATGTAGTTTTAATGATACGCATTTTCCTTCCTAATTGCTATTAGATCTGACCTGAAAAACTGCTATGGCATGTAGCCTAAAGATATTCCTTCGAAAGTGGCGCTAGAAAAAAAAACATAAATAAATTGAGTTTATGAGCTCGATTTGTAAAAGAATGAAATGTTACTATATGAAAAAATTTGCATCGAATGGAATCTGACAGAATTCTTAGCTATTTTGGCATTCATCGGTCGGAGTTCATTTTGTCTATATTCAATCCTTTTTGAAAAAACTGCATCAAAACCTTATTTTTTTCCGGTTAATTTGAATCAACAATTTAATAAGAGTAGCGTGTCGAGATTCATTTTACCTGCTCAACGCTAAATCGACTTAACGTCAATATCGGTTGAAATATTCGTTAGAAGAGACAGGAAGTTTCCGTTCTAAAAAATTTCTGTGCATCTTAAAAGAAAACTTTTTTAGAAAAATTTTTTTTTCTTAGTCTGTCTTTGCTGTACGAGATGAAGCGTCCAGCGAGTGCAGTTGGCAACGCAAAGGGGGATGATGTTCCCCTCACTGAAAGAGGAGGGGGAGGGGGAGGGGGAAGACCCTCCTCAGAGCTGCCTACCTGTCCCGACCTGTTTCTGCATGGAAGAACAGAGAACGCATCAAAAACAAGGTACTTTTATGCCCTTCAACTTCCCCAAAAAGTATGTTTTGTTTTTTTTCCTGTGAAAATCTTAGCGCCCCTAAAAGATTTCAACAACCCCTACAGTAATTCAATAACATTGCTTTCCAACTTCTTTTTAAATACTTTACGATATCAATTTTTCGTAGACCAACTCGAAGACTTTTCTAATTCGCCTTGGGTGCCAACATATTTTATTTTTAGGGGAGTTAACATTTTTGGTCAAACCTTGTAAAAACATGTACTGTTTGCTTTTATTTTGGCTGGGGTGCCAAATTTTTTGAAAGGAATTGAGTTTTCGGCGCTGATTTTGCAAAATTAATCTGGTCGACCAAAAAAATGAAAAGGTGGGAACGACAAAAATTTAGAAAAATTTGGTATATCTATCCCCTTCAAGAAAATCCTAGATTCGATCCTTGCTTATCAATCTTTTTTGAACATCGACCAAAAATTCGAGCCACCTATTATTTGAGTCAAAAAAGCCTTTTTGGCCAATTTTTTGAGAAAGTTTTGATCATAAAATAATTTTTGTGGCGTACTCTCTTTCAAAAAAAAGCATAATTGGCAACTTCAAAATCTAAAAAAAAATTAGTTCGGTCAGTCAAAAGTGTGATCGAGTTAAATTTTACAGGGGTGGGGTCTTCTGGTAGTGAGCTTTCCGAAATCTTGATGGAAGAATCTTCAATAAACCCACCCTTAACCTGTAAAAAAAATTCGAGGCCAATTTTATTTAAATACCTAACTGAAGATATAAAAAGTTTTACTGAGAAAAAGCTCATCAAAATATCAAACATTTTGAACCATAAATAGTTTCACTTTTTAGCTGGATAGGAGACGCCGTATGACGATTGGCCAGTTTGCCAATTTGGAGAAGGACTCTCTGTTGGTGTATGAGAAACACATGTCAGAAGACACGATCGAAACACTAGCCAAAGTTAGTTGACTCCTAACGAAACAATCGTGGGACGACTGGAGATCAATTTCTGTTAAAAAAATATGGTTAATGCCAAGTTGTTGGCAAACATTTTTTTCAGTAAACGATTTTCAACGAAGTAAATAAAGCTAAAATTGCTCGTCTTGGCATTGGAAAGCAGTTTCTCAATCATTTGAACA